GTTTGGGTGGTTTATAAAAATTGTGATTTTCGTGTCTACCTGGCCCCCGTTTGCCCCTGGTGAGGGGGTGAAATTTAGTATAGTTTATATAGGAAATATACATAATAGGCCATATCTTCCAATGTTTTGAACGGATTTGCTCATATTTGACAGAAATACTTGTTGGGGGAGGAAGGTCTGCTGGTATAATTTGTGTGACCCTGACCCCCTAGGGGGCTTGGTTTGGTGTGAAAAAGGAGGCGAGTTTCAAAAATCTTCTTCTGCAGTTCCAGAAATGCTAGTATCAAATACTACTCATAGTTGGAAAGGCCTTCGAGCTGTTTATATATTTGTGATTTTCATGTGCCCCAGGTCCCTCGTTTGCCTTTGGGGAGGGGGTAAAGTTTGGTATTGTTTATATAGACAATTCGACAAATGAACAGCCATCACATACTTTTTATCTCCAACCCAACTGATGTGCTAGTAATAGTAACAACCTTAACTCTTAAAGAATTATAAAGTCTCTATAGTAACGCTTCCAAGTTCTTACCCTACATGTCTGAAGTGGTTACAAATTGGCATTACAGAGCAAATGTAAATATTGTGCCATGATTGCTTAAATAACCAGGTGAGCGATACAGGCCCCCTGGGCCTCTTGTTGCATATGCAGTACCCAAAACAGATTTGGGCTTGAATTTTGCGATGTCTTATGCTGCAAACGACAAAACCTTTGCTAGTATCTCAACATTTTGTTATGATATCTAGAACTTGTATGACTACAAGTATTTCTGTGGTCCAGAGTTTATTCCTACTGACCAAGTACTGAATAAGTATATATTTGACTTTTACTAGACAGAAATGTTGAAAGGTTTGCATTCCAAGGCTACATCATTTCAAAACATAAACTGCAGACAAAGGTAAAGTTTCAAAAGTATTTTTGGCCAGATTGCAACCCAAACAGCGCTTATAGATTGGCGATTCATGTCCGTCCATCTGTCTGTCTGTCTGTCTGTCTGTCTGCGCTAAGGTTAAGAAAAATGGTTAGCCTACATTTCCAAGTTATTTATTATCTCACATCAACTAAACTGGTATGACTTATGTATCTAAGGATGCTTATCACATGCAATGTTTGGGATGCTGGTTCCTGCCTACATTTTCCACTTCAGTGACCAGGTTAAGACAATTGGTTAAAGTCAGTTACTAAGTCACTACTTGTCCTACATCAACTAAACTGGTATGACTTATGTATCTAAGGATGCTTATCACATGCAATGCTTCGGATGCTGGTTCCTGCCTACATTTTCCACTTCAGTGACCAGGTTAAGACATTTGGTCAAGGTCAGTTACTAAGTAACTACTTGTTGTACATCAAGGCAACTTGCATGGCTTATGTATCTAAGGATGCTAATCACATGCAATGAATGCTTCAGATGCTGGGTCTGACCTACATTTTCCGCTTGACTGACTAGGTTAAAAAGAATGGTTAAGGTCAGGCCACATCTGCATTATGTTAAGAAGATTAGTTTAGATCACTTACCAAGTAAGTGGCTTTATGTATCTAAGGATGGTTATCACATGTGATGCTAAAATTTACATGAAAATGAACTGTAGCAATCTGGCCATATCGCCATTGGCGGTTTCTTGTTGTGAAAAGTGATGCATTTTGTGTAAGTGATGGTATGATTAGGGTTCACCCTCTTCATGTATCTGATTTAATCATTACCTTGCAACAAATGTTTTCGCCCAAGGTTTTCTTTTACTCAAATAATGGTTTTCTTCTTGGGAAACACAAATTCAGGAAAAAATCTTACTTTAGATGTTTTGTAAAACTGAAGCATATATTTATGTCATGATTAATTCTTTCAACAAAATTATCTTTGTTGCTACGACTTTACACAAATGAATTGAATAGCGTTACTGAAACCTTACTGTATGTCACATGTTGTATATGTACTTAATCAGTCTAAGAGACTTTAGTTTTGTTACATGTATATAATTTATTGAATTTGATTAATGTAATGGTTTCAGAAACTCCCGTCTTTTGGTCCATATGCCGAGCAGAAGGCAGAAATATTGGCCAAACACTTCAAAGATGTAGACATTCTAGGTAAAGAGTTCCAGCCTCCTCCAAACCGTCCAGCCAACGTACCAAAGAAGCCAGTTCCTAGTGTCCAGGTCAGTACAGGACACTCAGCTTCTTGCTTTAGTGTTCAGAATCATATTAAGGTCATAGGAGGGTATTGATAAACAATGTTGAAAATCCAATGTAGGGAGAGTGGGTATTACAATTTCTGCATATTCTAATGTTTAATATTAAACTGATAAATATTGTATGTTTATAAATGGCAGAACAGTGTGTTCTCTCAATAATAAAGTATTTCAAAGCAATCCAGGCATTAATTCAGTAGTTTTTTTAGCTCAACTGGCCCTGGTTATTGTTTATAATGGCAAATGATACTTTGAATATTACATGTTAACTCTTTCATTACTAAATTAAATTGCATGATGGGTATTCTGGCCCTGAGATTATTTGCACATGTCTTTTCCTGGCCTGAATTAAATTAGGACAATTGACGACTCATTTTGACTACGTACTGTTAAACAAGATTTCTGTAGAAAATATGGCGTGGAATAAGTTCTCTGGCATAAATCTATGAAAGGAATACTTAAAGCTTCCGTTTTTACGCCACCAAAGCAGTATGTGTGCCTCAGCAATACACATTTTACTGTTCTTCAATGAGAAGTATAATGTATATGTTTTAACTAAAACTAGGAGATCCGATTACAGCATACACATCCTAATATCTTCAGTATTTATGTTAAATCCTGAGCATGATTGCATGCCGCCATTTTTTTAAGTAAGTCGACCATTGCGTCATGAACGACAGGAGCGATATCTCCAGCTGACAAAAAATGTCAGGAAGCATAACACTAGTCTACAATAACACATATTAAAACGAAATAACATGAATGTAAATCACAATAAAAAAAAAAAAATACAAGACAATAAACAATCAAGTTTGTTAGTGCTAAACATTTGCACTATGAGAAGGTAGTCACATAGATAAAATATTTTAATAGGACCAGCATTTTTTGTCTACTTTGTGTTTTTTTCAAAGTTGTGCATTTATTTTTACCCTTATTTTCACGTTCGAGGATTTTATTTCACTTGTATTTTTCCCCAAATACAGCATGCATTTTTAGCTCACCTGGTCCGATGCCATGGATATCAACCATATTTGACTGGAATTAAGCATCCCTAGGTGGTGGGGATTCAAAATTGTACAAATGATGGGGCTGACCCCCCAGGGGGCTGAGGGGCGGGGCAAAAAGGTGTCAATTTGGCTATATTGTTACAAACGACTTCTTCTGTAGAACTATGCCATGGATATCAACCATATTTGACTGGAAGCATCCCTAGGTATCAGGGATTCAAAATTGTACAAATGATGGAGCTGAGAGGCGGGGCAAAAAGGGGTCAATTTGGCTATATTGCTTTAAGCGACTTCTTCTCTGGAACTAAGAAATGGATATCAACCATATTTGACTGGAAGCATCCCTAGGTGGTGGGGATTCAACTTGTACAAATGATGGGGCTGACCCCCCAGGGGGCTGTGGGGCAAGGCAAAAAGGGGGCAATTGGCTATATTGCTACAAACGACTTCTTCTGTAGAACTATGCCATGGATATCAACCATATTTTACTGGAAGCATCCCTAGGTATCAGGGATTCAAAATTGTACAAATGATGGAGCTGAGAGGCGGGGCAAAAAGGGGTCAATTTTGCAATATTGCTATAAGCGACTTCTTCTCTGGAACTAAGAAATGGATATCAACCATATTTGACTGGAAGCATCCCTAGGTGGTGGGGATTCAAAATTGTACAAATGATGGGGCTGACTCCCTAGGGGGCTGTGGGGCAAGGCAAAAAGGGGTAATTTGGCTATATTGCTACAAACGACTTCTACTGTAGAACTATGCCATGGATATCAACCATATTTGACTGGAAGCATCCCTAGGTGGTGGGGATTCAAAATTGTACAAATGGTTGGGCTGACCCCCCAGGGGGCTGAGGGGCGGGGCAAAAAGGGGGCAATTTGGCTATATTGCTACAAACGACTTCTTCTGTAGAACTATGCCATGGATATCAACCATATTTGACTGGAAGCATCCCTAGGTGGTGGGGATTCAAAATTGTACAAATGGTTGGGCTGACCCCCCAGGGGGCTGAGGGGCGGGGCAAAAAGGGGTCAATTTGGCAATATTGCTTTAAGCGACTTCTTCTCTGGAACTAAGAGGTGGATATCAACCATATTTGACTGGAAGCATCCCTAGGTGGTGGGGATTCAAAATTATACAAATGGTGGGGCTGAGGGCGGGGCCAAAAAAGGGGCAATTTGGCTATATTGCTATAAACGACTTCTTCTGTAGAACTATGCCATGGATATTGATCATATTTGGTCGGAAGCATTCATGGGAGGCAGGGATTCAAAATTGTACAAATGGTGGGGCTGACCCCCCGGGCTAAGGGGTGGGGCCAAAAAAAGTGTATTACTTGGAAATGGTTGAGATCCCCACCATATAACCATGGTATACAATTGCTGAGTATAAAGAGAAGAATGCACATTTGCTTCCAGGATGGCTATAGGGTCTGGCCCCACCCTTGGAGACATAGTCCCTGGGCCATAACTTTAAAACTGTTGAGATCCCCACCCCAAAACTATATATACAAATGCTGGGCATAAAAAGACGAATGCAGTCATGATATCAGAATAGACCCTGGGGTCTGACCGAACCCCTAGGGACCTAGTTTGTTAGTCACAGCTTGGAAACACTTGAGAGCCCCACCCTATAACGGTATATACAATTGCTGAGTATCAAGAGATGATTGCACATATGCTTCCAGGATGGCCTTGGGGACTGCCCCATCCTTGGAGACTTAACCCCTGGGTCATAACTTCGAAATGGTTTAGATCCCCACCCCAAAACTATATATACAATTGTTGGGCATAAAAAGACGAATGCAGTCATGATATTATAATTGACCTCAGGGTCTGCCCCACCCTTGCAGACTTAACCCCTGGGTCATAACTTTGAAATGGTTGAGATCCCCCCCCCAAAACTATATATACAAATGCTGGGCAAAAAGAGACAAATGCAGTCACGATATTAGAATTGATCCTGGCGTCTGGCCACAACCCTAGGGACCTAGTTTCTGAGTCAAAGCTTGGAAACAGTTGAGATCCCCACCCCATAACCATACATAAAATTGCTGGGCATGAAGAATCTAATACATTTACAGATATGCTACAAGGATTGACCTTGGGGTCTGGCATATTCCTTTGATCTCATTCGGAGAATATTTTGCCATGATTGCTTTGGTATCCAGGTGAGCGATGCAGGCCCTCTGGGCCTCTTGTTTTGTGTTCCACGTTCAGGAAGTATTATTTTTATCTTTTTTCTACTTTTTATTAGGTCACATGAGACAAAGTCTCAAGTGACCTATTGCGATTGTAAACAATTTACATTTTCGATTTCTTCTCCAAAACCCCTGAACCAATTTCAATGAAATTTTGCAGGGACCTTCCATGGACAAAGGTCAACAAAAATAGTGGCCGGTTTAGTCCCAAGCCCCCAGGTGCCTGAGGGGCGGGGCCAAAAAGGGTCAAATTGACTAAAATTTCAAAAATCTTCTTCTCAAGACCCAGATATGGTAGAATCAAATACTCTTCATAGATGGAAGGGTTTTAAGGTTTATGACCCTAGGGTCTCACGTTAACCCCCGGCGGGGGGGGGCAAAATTTATTATGGTTTATAATGGCAAATGATACTTTGAATATTACATGTTAATAACTTGATTGGAATTATAACCTTGATTTGACAGTTTGATACTTTGAAAATTTTGAGCCAGCCCTACCCCCAAGGGCTGTAGGGTGGGGCTCAAAGGAGTCAGTGTGCTAAAATTTCTTCATTTTCCTTGTTTAGAATCAGAGGTGTTAGTTTCAAATACTTTTCAGTCTAAAATCTGTATGCTAGATATTGAATAAGGTGGTTTTATTGTTTTTTGTTCAAAAACAAAATCAACTCTTTGTATAAATATATCAGGTGACCGTTAAGGCCCATTGGGCCTCTTGTTTATCATACATTTTCAAGAAATTGACAACTCCTCTTGGCCGTTATGTTGTTGAGCAATCTCCACACAGATTAGTACCAGCAAGGCCTTACATACATGTAATCTTATTCTGTGGTACCAGCCAAGATATCACAATTACATGTACATCTTGCAGTACATCTGCTAGGCCATTCAGAAATATTTTGCCTGTGAGTTGTACACAGAGAAACATTGGGAAAGGCACAGATATTTATGGCATTTAGTGCCACCAAATTTCGTTTGTCTGTTTTGTCTTGCAGTCCACTCTTACATATGTTATGTAGCACACATCTCACACATGTAGCACATGACTCAAGTGTGCCATTGCCAGGGAGGTGATCCTGTGTGAGACGGTCATATAGAGCCGAGGCAGATCCAAAGGGGTGTCACCAGCGCATGTTACACCCACGCGCACCCTTCCCTTGACTAAAAAATTATCTGTGTCAAACTTGTGGTGACCAATTATTTGACATTCCAAAGCTCCGTCAATGTAACCATAATGTGCACATCAGTATTGCATGC